TATCTTCCTTTCTGCGTAAGAAATGTTTAAAGTTTTAGTATAAATCTTATAAACCACTTTATGAGTCCATATATGTTTCTAATCATGACAATCAAAAATTATAACTCCAATCTTTAGTAAAATTCTTATGCCACTACGCCCAAAAAATGGTTAAAATTTTTCATTGCAAATAAAACCAAGATTTAAAAAAGCTGTGCTGTACGGTGTAGGCTCGTTTACTGCATAGCGGAGGCACGGTCTGCATAGTGGAGGCTTGGCCTGCATGGTGGAGGCTCGTTACTGCATAGGAGAGGCTCGGTCTGCCTAGCAAATCTGGGAGGCTCGCGTCTGCATAGCAGAGGCTCATGGCGTCTGGGGGTTCCCTCCCTCATCTCCCATTCCATCCTAAATCAAAAAAATGTTATAAGATTTTCTCCTTAATAGCTATAATGCATGAATCTTGATGATAAATTAAGCAAGAGTCGAATTCAATAAAATATAACTTCTTGATTATTTGTAAATTTCAGACATCCACCACCACAACTACAACAACCACAGAACTTGTAAGTTTAAAATTGAATTTATAAACTTACATTTAATTGAGCGACGATTTTAATATCTTCTTTGTTGATTATATTTTTATTTAGTTCAGAGCTGTATTTTCTATGGCTTGTTTATATGAAGATAGGAACTTTCCCAAAGGCGTTTTCCAAAATGGCCTTACCATGGAAATTTTCCCAAGTGAAAACTTCCCAAATGTTTAATTTCCCAAGCGACAACTTCCCAAATCTGTCCTAGCTACAGCGCTCGGCTACGATTGCCAGAAGGCCTTACCTTAATTTTGGGAAGATGTTGCTTAATTAGGGAAATTGGGAAAATGCCTTTTTGAAAGTGCCTAAAAGGCCTTTTTTAAAACACCCTGTTTTATATTATGTTTAGGAAAAGACTGGCATTCTCTTCATCGGACAGGGTAAATAATATTTTTATTTTATTCAAGTTTTCAGATAACCATCGTATCATTTAAGTTCTATAGATATAACCACCTCTAATATTAATTGCTCTCATTTATCAGAATTTTCTTTCCAGTCCAAGTAATCTAAAGATTTAAAGTAATTTAAAGGATATTTTCTTTGCAACGGATGTAGGCTGGGCAAGAGATTTTGATAATTAACAGGAGAATCCGTTAACCAACTTAATTAAACAGGCGTTTCTGAAAAAAATAAACAGTTGAAAAAAAACGAAACGGATGTGTATTTGAATAACTGCAAATTTCGTTCTTTTTGCTGCTTATAATTGACAAAAACTTGCAACTTATTTTAAATGTCGCTGTTTTTCCCCCCTTATTTGTAAAATTATAGAATTTTATGTATTTTGATGATGTTTAAGTGTTTTCATGTTTTGAATGTTGTCTTTAATTTTTTCCAACTTTTTTACATTAAATTTAATTGTTAACAAGTTCTATGAATATTTTCCGTTAACTCCGGTAATAATAGTGAGATCGTTAAGAAACGGTAGCTTTTAAATACAACAGAAAATACCATTAACGAAACGAACGTTCTTAGCTAAAAAATAAACGACTACCTGGACATTTTTTAACGGTTTTAACTGACCGTTAACGAACGGCTTGACACAAGTAGAAACGTGTTTACTGCACAGACCTAAATAGGTTGATGGGCACCACTCAGTGATAAAAAAATCTAGAGAAAGCTCATAAATTTTCTACGGGTCAAAAAATACGTTTATATGTTTGTTGTCGCTAAGGAACAAGATTCTGACGATGAACAGATAGACAAGGTATAACCCACAAATCAAAATC